GAAACAGTCCAAATGCCCACCTACTGATGAATGGATAAACAAAACCTGGTAAATCCACACAAAGGAATATTGTTCAGGCACATAAAAGAAGGAAAAGATAAAGGTAATATTCTCACACGTGCTACAACATGGTCAAACCTTGAAAGAATTATGCTAGATGAAAGACAACACAACAGCCATTTGCTATATGATTTCATTTACATGAAGTGCCCAGCATAGGCAATTTGACAGGGAAAGGAGATAAATGGACCAAGGAAGAGAGGAAAATATGGAATGACTGCTAATAATTAGAGTGTCTGTCATCGATGAAGAATATGTGGAATTAGATAGATGTGACGGTTGCACAACTAACTTTATGAGTCACTGTTTTGTAGGCTTTAAAAGTGAGATAGCTTTGGGGTAAAGGGGTAAAGATGCCTGCCACCAAACCTTATTACCATCTGAGTTCGATCCCCAGGCCCCCCGTGGTAGAAGGAGACCACCAACTCCTGTAGGTTGTCCTCTGACCTCCATGTGCCCACTTGAGGAATGAGCAGTCCTCACAGAGAGAAAACAAATACAAAAATAAAACATACATTATAAAAATTAATGTAAATGGTGTACCATATATTATAAAATTATAGTTCAGCAATGAAAAAGTTAAAGAGGAAAAAAAATTACAATAACATCAGTAGAAAGAACCCACAGTCCCAATCACAAACAAAATAAGCCCTGACACTGAATAGCTAAGACAAAAGTATTTCTGTCATCAGTTTGTTTGAATGGACAAGGAAGAACGTTCTTCAAAGAGAATCAATGCTCAAAGAAACAAAGTGAGCTATTAAGCCAAATGTAGTTAAAATAGCTTAGGCCTACCCCTCCAAATCATAGGAAACTAACAAAAAATTATCATAAAATCTCTGTGGATCAGAAATGCGGAGGAAAAGATGGTAATTTCTAAAGAGAATAATAAGCAGTACCTAAACATTCCAGAGCAAACTGATTCCTTAAAGAACTCAAAGTAAGATTAAACGTGAAATTAAGAAAGGAATGATTTCATAAACTTGAGTAGATTCATCAGAACCATGTCAAACCAAAATCCCTCCAATTTCTCCTTTAAGAGAATGACTTCACTGCAGCTAAGAACCATGTAGGCTCATTACAGCTCAATTACAATGAGTGCCAAAATCTTTCAGAATATTCACACAAACCAAATGTCATATGGGCCTGACAATAGGAAGAATTAATAGCCAGTGACTAAGCATGGGTGTTAATGGACTGGTGATACTGGAGGAAACAAGGCTGAGCTGCATACTTCAGAGTAATCTACTCTATTACTTAAATTTTTTGTCAACAGTCTGAACAAAGATATACAATATATGTCTACTAAATACAAAGATACAAAAAAAGATCAGAAAATAGGTAATAAATGCCTAAGTCAAGACTGAACATGAAATTTAAATGCCTTGTATTTAAACTCAAAAAAAGTATCACAAAAAAGTTAGGAAGACATAATTTAACATAGTTTACATAGAAAACACATGGTGAAGTTCATACTACCAGCACATATTAAACATAATAACAGAAGTTGAAACTGTTAAGGACTAACAGTTTAAAATGTAATAGTGGGCTTCTGTGCACATCTGTAATCCCAATACTTGGGAGGCTGAGGATTGTCATGAGTTCAAACCAGTCTGGGCTATGTAGTAAGATCCAGTCTAGCATGGTCTATAGTATGAGACCATCTCTAAATTAATTGGTGAACTGATAATATTTACTGTTTTAAAAGTAGCTTTTAGTTCAAGAGAGGTATACACACACTTTGGTTACCTTAAAAATAGGAATACAATTCTGGATATGATGTCTAATAATGAGCAACTAGAGTAAATAAAGAAAAAAATTAAATCAGCCAGGTGTGCTGGCTTGTGCCTTTGATTCCAACACTTGGCAGACAGAGGCAGGCAGATCTCTGAGTTTGAGGCCAGCCTGGCCTACAAGTTCCAGGACAACCAAAACAATATGGTAAGACCCTGTCTCAATAAAAAATCCTTCTTTTATTACTACTATTATTATCGAAGGACTAGAGAATTATATTATTTAATATCCAAATTTACTCTGAAGAAAATGTCTATTTAATGTATGAAGAGCTGGATTCTAATCTTAGTGTTATCATTACTTTGTGTGTTATTTGACGCCAAGATAGATTAAGTTTCCTTACACTAAAATTGATACCTACCTTATAAATATATAAACATTAAATCTAATTAAATGCAAAAATGTTTGTAAGTTCCTCCCACCTCCACCACATCACCTAATGCACTACGATACATAATCATCTTAATTCTCTTTCTGAGACTTTTCTGAGTAATAAGAGCAAAGTTTTCAGACTGAAAGTTGCAACCCATTAGTGGGTCTGGAATCAGTCTAGTAGTAACTAGCATTTCCCTCCACCAAAGAAATACAACAGAATAGAAAATATTAAAGTGTACCACTCATTGTAAAAGTATCCCCTGTCATTCACATACAGGTGTGTACTGGTTGTGTACTTTGTATCATGAAGCTGCCCAGCACTATTGCCTATGTGTGTCTGATGAGACGGTAGCTAGTTCCTTGGGAACTCAATTAAGTTTAGGGAACAACCATAATCCCTAGAGATTTATTATGGCCAGTACACACCTGCATCTCAAAGAAGCCCAGCAGGAAAGAAACCTGTTATTTTTGATGAGCCCAGTTTCCCTTACATTACTTTTACTCCAGAATCAGGTTATCTTTCCACATAACACCTACTCCGACCTTCTGCATTTTGTGGCATATATGCTAGGGGCAAAAATGTCTCTAGATGAAAATGATGTGCAATAGAAACAAGCTTTGGAAGGCAGTTTCTGACCTGCTAGGAAAGCAAACTTTACCATGACTCTTACTGCTGCTGACAGCCACACCCTTCTACTCAGACACATCCCAAGGCTTTTAAACTAAGATTTCTTTATCTAACTCTCCCCTGACCTATTGTGGTTAAGATCAAACCCAGGGTCAGATTTTAATTTCAGATTAACTGAATTTCAGATTTAATTTCACATAAGTATTTTCAGGAAAAAGCATAAGATATCTATAGCACCAAGACACAAAACCAGATTTAAAAAAACAGTAAGCAGGAATCAGGTGGTCAAAACAAACTCCTGGCCTGCCTTTCTAAGAATATATGCTTTACCTGGGCAAATACATGCTCAGAAACCAAAGTAGCTAGAGACTTGGTGTTTGGAGGAGTCACTGTGCCCCACCAATACATCTACAATGGGCTGAGGAGTGCTGTCAATCCTCATTATCATGAGCACTGGTCTCATCATCCCTTGGAAAAGATGTCATGATACTTGATGACTCTGGGTTCTTTGAAAGTGCATACATACACAGGATTCCTTCAGAGGGCAGTGAGTCTCACTAACAGGAAAGCTGTAACTACTATACTCTAATAATACTTGGTATCACTAGGCAATAACATAAGAAAGAATACCTCTGTCATTCATATTGTCCTAAGTATGAGTTCTAAATACTTATTGTAGTTGTCAGAACATAAAACGCAGTTCCCAATTCTCACCTTCAGATTTCTACCTTCTCTGAAAGTTTGCCCATTATTTGGACCAATGTTGCTCACTGTCAGTATTCCTGTTCTCTCTCTCCTCAGCACCTCACTGTATACATCCCACCTTGTTTAATCGCCTAAGACTTAGCTCTCCTCAACATGACCGCCACGGCCTGACACACAGGCATCAGCACTTAAGAATCTTCAGAATCTCTTGCAGCAGGGATCACATGTAAACTCACTAAATAGTGTTGATTTAAATAACCAGGCTTAAGGGTACCCAGTCCAGGAGAACTTATTGTATGCCAAGCCTGGCACTAAAAGTACACATGGATTATCTAATTTAATCTTCAAAACTCTAGAGATGTTAAGAGTGATAATTTTCCTGAGGACAAAAGTGAAGCTCAAAGTAACTTCTTCAAGGTCATAAACCTTTAAGTGCCAAACCTAGGGCCTGCACCCAGGGCAGGCTAACAATACTTCAAAGTTCTGGGCCTGGATACCAGTCCGTGAGTGCTTTCAACTTCATCGAAGTTTTAATGTCAACCGTGTAAACGTTCTAGCTAAAAGTTAAGACTTCAAAAGAGATGAATTATGGAGACAATTTCCCGCAGATGTTTTTAAGTCTAATAAAAGCCTCTCATGTCCTTTCTATTTAATGAAAGTGTGACTTTAAGGTGTGGGGTCACAAGCTCATCAAGAGGTGCCTTATGACAATTACAGCTCTGGTTTGGATTTTGAAATAGGACTTTCTCTGCCTCTAGAACGGCATGGAAATGACAGTCGGCTTTGATAACTACTGCTTCAGGGCTCCGAAATTATGTCAGACCCAGTTCTTGTTTTCAAAAATAAAATTCAGGGTTCCCGTTCCACCGCCGACTTCACACAAAGCAGCCCCATCCCTTCTCTGCCCTCCGCACGCACACAAAGCAAGCTTTACCCCCACTACCCAAAGGGGAGTGCCGTTCACCCGGCCTCCGCACACACATACCCCTCTCACTCCAGTCCAAAACACTGACTGCTACTCTGTCATGTCCCGACACCTGGTGTTACCTCATGAAGGAGACCCCCCCCCCCTTACATCCAAAATGCCCAGACCACCACCCCAAAGCCAGTCTTTCACACAAAGCAGGATCCCTTCCTACGAAGCAGCTTGCTACCACTAAGTGCTCTGAGCATGCGGGCCCACCGGAGCTGTGCCAAACCACAGATCCCCCCATCGGGGTCCAGTGGGGTCCAGCACCCAGAGGTTCCACAAACCCAGAGAAGAACTAGCTACAGACTCGTTCCTAAGGCACGCCTCGAGCCAACTCCAGCCGACCTGCCCGCAGCAGAAGCAGGCAAAACCAGTGTCCCCGCCACCCTACTTCCCCGGGGGGGACACCCCCCTCCACCACCACCACCACCCCGGCCCGGCCAGCCCGGGCGCCCCCCCGCAACTCACCAGCTCTCCTCCTCCTCCTCCCAGCCTGACAGCCGCTCCAGCTCGTCGGGCCGCAGCGGCTCCACCTCGTCCAGCAAGCTGCCCTCTCCCGCCGCCAGCAAGGAGGTGGCGTCCCGCAGGTCCTCGCTGCTGGTCCTCCGCAGGCCTGAGCCCGCCGCGCCGCCCACCTTGGCTCCCAGGCCCAGCGGGAAGCCCCGAGGGGACGCCGCGCCCGAGCAAGGGGTGGTGGACACGCCGGCCCGAGCCGGGCTGCCGGGCCCGAGGAGGCCTGCGCCCTGCACGGCTCCCGAGCGGCTCCTCAGCTGCTCGTTCTGCTTCTCCAGCTTCTTCACCAGCTCCTGCAGCTTCCGCACCTCCTGGTCCGCGTTCACATTGGAGTTAACGTCCTCCATGCCGGCCGCGCCGCCCGCTCCGACACCCAAGCCGCAGGGCAAGCGCGGGGTGTGTGTGGGGTAAGGGGGGTGGGGGGGAGAGAGGCGTTACCGCCGCCGCTCACGCTAGCCGAGGCGCCGGCATAGAGCAGGGCCAGGCCCCACCGCCAGGGTCCCCCCGGCTCGGGTTGCGAAGCGCCGCTGGCCGCAGCCGAGCCGCCTCATCTGCGCCGGCTCCGCGACTGGGGGAGGCGGCGCCAATATCCGGCCTCGGCCGCCATCTTCCCTCCGTCCCTCCGCCCCCTGCCGGCCAGCCCGGTCGGTGACCTCAGAGCGTCGCGGGGGAGGACGTGGCCGCCCGCGGGCTGAAAGGACGAGGGCGCGGGGCTGGCGCGGGGGCGGGGCCGGGGGCGGGGCCCGCGAGAGTCACGGGGTCTGGAGGGGCGGGGCCCACCGTGGGGGGGCGGGGCCCCCAGCCGGAAGGGGTGTGGTGGGCTCCGGAGGCGAAGGTGGGTGGGTCGGGCCGGGCTAGCTCTGGAGTGGCTTTCCCTGGCCGCTTGCCCTCCCTAGCCCAGGCTAATCGCGGGCGGGACGGAGACATGGAACCGGGCTCGGGCTCAGCCCCCACCCCACCCCGAAACGTCTGTGATGAGAGGCGGGCGGCTGGACTCGCGGGCCGGCGGCCCCGCCTGGCCGCGTGGACGGTTCGCTTGGTGTGTTTGGCATTGCCGCGTTGGTTGCTACCTGAAACCGGAGACTGGCGGGCAGCCCCGGAGACCATCTGTGGCCCGTTCCTTCCCCCTGAAAATGAGAACGCGAATCCCAAATGGTTGAGGGAGCTCGAAGGTCAAAATAATAACCGTAATTTGTTGAGTTGTGCTTACTACGGGCCAGACTCCGCGCTAAGCACTTTTAAAGGCATTATCTCATCCCTTAGAGCACGTGGAGGGGGTTGTTTTGTTTTTTCGGTTTAAGGTTTACAGCGCTGACAGAAGCGGGCGGTGAAAAACACTTCTGTATTCATCTTTCAACGTTAATGAATGCGCGTTGTATCCCTTGGCTCCTCCTTCTGCCCCCAAAGACTTTTTAATAATGTCTTGACTTTTTTTGTTTTGTTTCGTCGAGGCAAGGTTTCTCTGCGGGTCCCTGGATGGCCTGGAACTCGCTCTGTAGGCTAGGCTGGCTCAGAACTCAGTGATCCGCCGGCCTCTGCCTCCCGAACGTTGGGGTTTAAAGGAGTGTGCCCCCTTGACTTTTTTTTTTTTAAATTGTGTATGAAAAGTACTTGAGCAACCCGTTGACAGATAATAGAGAATGTTGAGGGGAAGTAAATGTAAAATTCTGCCTTCGGTGGCATCTGTAACGCGAGCTGGGGCAGCAACTGCAAACAACCTTGAAATGCTTTGTTTCCATCATCACGTTGGCTCACTGTTCCGCAGTCAATTGTGAGCTGTCTGACTTGCCTATACAGTAAGCAGCTAAACGCGCCTAATTTCTCAACTACTTGGCTGGTGTTTGCAGTTGACTCCATTGCCTCCTCCGCCCTAAGCGAACACCGAACCAGTCTTATTACACCTGGGTGTGGACTCATGGCGACTTAAATCCTTCCGCCTCTCTGTGCTGTGTTTTTCCCTTGCCTAGAATATCCTACCTACCACATTTGGTTACTTTTCGTAAACACTTATGCCCACCCCCAACCCTGGAAGTAGTTACTCTCTTTGCTCTGACACCACCTCCTCAGTCGCTGGCTGCAGATATTTGTATTTTTTAATTGCATTTTTTTTCTAGCAAGTCTTTGTTTTGAGCTGTATAGCTGATTAAAAGGAATCATTGTTTTCCTTGCCGTGTGCAGGACGGTGTCTGACAAAGTGGACATTCAATGCCTGTTTTGCTAAAATTGTAAGTTTTGACAGGTCAAGTCCCAGATAGATAGCAAAAGAAGTAATTTGAGTATGCTAAAGTTTTCTGTTGAGTACGAGTATTTTCCTAGCGACACAGACTTATTTAAGAGGATGCCTTTGCTTGCTAACAGAAGTTTGTAAAACAAAAATGTATTCTCTGTATGAGGCACATTAAATGCTACAGTTGTCCCTGACATACCTGAACTCATTGCTGCAGAGTCCACCACTGAGACTACATCACATATCACAGTATTTCATTTACATTAACAGTTTGTGACATGGAGTCCAACTAGCCAGTTTCTAAAGAACTCTTTAAATACGTTTCTTGAAAAGTTCAGTTAACATTATGAAGTTAGCATCAGTGTTCTTGAGAGAAGGAGGCCTAATGTTAGACAGAACAATTATCTGTGGACCAGGAGGTCTGCTGGCAAGTTCTCCTCGTATCATGAATGTGTTCCTTGAACATCGGTTCTCTTTTTCTCCCTTTAATCTGGGCCTTACTTTTTGTCGGAATGTGTGAATTGACTGATTTTCTAATATTGAATCTATTACCAAGAAGTAAAGGATTCTGGTGAATCATCATAATTATAAAATATATATGTGAGTATGCTTATACACAGAAATTCATAGAAGATATGCTTAGATTTTTTTTATTATTATTTTTTTTTTTTTTTGGTTTTTTGAGACAGGGTTTCTCTGTGTAGCTTTGCACCTTTCCTGGGACTCACTTGGTAGTCCAGGCTGGCCTTGAACTCACAGAGATCTGCCTGGCTCTGCCTCCCGAGTCCTGGGATCAAAGGCGTGCGCCACCACTGCCCGGCTGATATGCTTAGATTTTTAAATCCATTGTCCTTACTACACCTTGGTTTTTAATTTAATAAATATTAAGTGTGTAGTATACGGCAGGTACTGCTTTGGGCAGTTTATGGTTAATAGGCTTCGTTTGTTTGAGGCAATGTCTCATATAGCTCCAGCTAGCCTAGAACTCACTAGGAGTCTGGGATGAATTTGAACTCCTGATCTTTCTGACTCTACCCTATAATAAACTTTGTATGTCAAAAACTGAAGTTAGCTGGGCATGGTGGTACATGCCTTTAATACTAGAATTCTGGAGGCAGAGACAGGAGGATCTCGGTGAATTTGAGACCAACCTGGTCTCCAAAGCAAGTTCCAAAACAGCCAGGACTACATAGAGAGACCTTGTCTCAAGACAACAACAGGGCTGAAGTTACAATCCATACAGACAAATATATAAGACCACCACACAGACACACAGATCCTTCCTGTAAGTCAAGTCACTGTCAGAAGCCTCCCCAGAAGTTGCTTCCTAACATACTCAACTCCAAAGTCTCTTTGACCGACTTGGCTTTGGATACTTGGTAACTTCTGCAAGTTGGTCTGGACCACCACTCTTCCGTTCCTCCTTCAACTCTATGCTCACTAACCTAGATGGTCTTCAAAAAAGCCAAACATGTTTCTAATGTCAGGACTTTGTACACACACACACACACACACACACACACACACACACACACACACGCCCCCCGCAGATTCGTCTAGCTAGGATCTTTGGGTCATCCAGAAGGTCACATGACTTAGGTCTCTCATGATTTAGGTCTCTCCCCAAATGTCACCTAGGTTCACTATCTTCATTATTGCTCCCTCACAAAATAGCATCCTGTCACTGTTGATCTTCTTGGGCTTTTTTTTTTTTTTTCCATCAGATACATTTTTGATGTTGTTTTCTGCAGATCTCTCCCCAGTAGAATTGCAGAAACGCCCCCACTGCACCCCCCAGTCTGTAACAGAGTGCCTGGTATGTACTAAGTGCCAGTAAATGTGTGTCAAATGAATGCATGTGGGTCAAGTGAAGCCTCCCAAAATAGAATATCAGAGAGATGTGTTGGTTATACCTTGAATCATTAGACTAGAAATTCCTAATTGTTTCTGACAGTTGGTTTTTAATCGACGTTTTCCTCTTCCGAAAGAGCAGCATGCCATACCACATATATCACCTTTAAAACTAGGTCATACCCCATGTCCTGAGAGCCCACAGCCCTGCAGAATTGCTGAGGAGATAGCCTTGGGTGCTCCCTGAGAAGTGAGGAGATAAGACTTATTTTCTTTCCCTCTGCCACATTACGACAACCTTCCTCTTTCAGGTTACTTACAACACTCTTCTCTGGTGACTCAGAAGTGTTGGTGTAAGTGTAAGGTCACTTTGAAAAAAAAAGACAGGCTCTCATGTTCCCCCAGACCAGCCTCGAATTTGCTATGTAATAGTGGATGGCCTCGAATTCCTGGTCCTCTCCCCACACACTCCTGAGTGCTGAGATTACAGGTGTTCAATACCATGCCCGGGTTTATGTAGTGTTGGGGATGCAGCCAGGGCTTCACATGCCTGCTAGGTAAGCACGCTACCAACTTAGCTACATCCCCAGCCAAAAAAACAACAAAACTGATCTTCAAGTGACTCAGTAGATAGAAGGGGTAGAGCTAGTGGGTGTCTGACAGAGACACCACGGCGATCCCAACACGCTGTTCAGGTATCACCTCCCATGATAAGCTCGCTTTGTTGCTGAATGAAGGAGCTGCTGTCTTCTAAGCAGGTGTGGTCCTTTCCCTGACTTGCTCCTACTTGCTTGTTTGCTCCACCGAAAGCCCTGACAAAGTGGAAATCATTCCAAACCACGACTCAATGGCTTAAAGGCACTTAGCAGTCCTAAATCATGGCTTGTGGTAGGGGGCACATACCCAAAAGTAGTCCAGAAACTGCTATGCACTTACAGAAATATCTGTCCTTGTTTTAAAAACTGCTCAGGAAGGCAGAGGCAGGTGGATGTCTGAGTGGAGGCCAGCCAGGACTACACAGTAAGATCCTGCCTCTACATAAATAAAAAATAATAAGCAAGTAAGTATTTTTTTAAATGTGCGGGGACACACACACCTCCATCTTTTTCCCCCAGGGTACTCTTGAGGAGTGAGGAATAAGAGATTTAGATAACAATATAGTGGTGAAAGAGACAGAAACACAGGGTAGCCTCGGGAGGGCCTGGATCAACATCCACCAGCCCCTTCTGTCTCATCTAAGAGCTTTTTAAAGGAACGCCAAGGGGTGGAGCAAAA